ATTTCTTTTCTATGCAAGCCCTTTTTTTTTTTTTTTTTTTTGACGTGTGTGTATTTTTGAAGCCTGCAGTGGATTTTCTGGACTCATGACATGAGTTTTTATTATGCAGTGCATTAGAGCCCTTGTGAAAAATAAAACATGTGATGTGGAAAGCCTCTAGTAAAGAGTGACTCAGGAAAAGGAAAACAAAACCCTTCAGTCTAACGAAAGAACAGACTGTGTGAAAGTAACTTGGTATTTAATTGGAAATTGCAGTCAGTCTGCAGATGAACAGCCTTGCTGGCATCTGCAGGTGGGTGTTTTGCTTATGCTTTACAGTTTTCCTTCCTGCTTGTGCTTGTGAATGTGTTCTGCCTGTCAGCTCAGAGGTGCAGAGATGGCTGCAATTTGTGGCTGTTCTTTTTCCAGAAGTATCAGCAGTTCCCAATATCACATAAATGAGTGTTGTAAAAGTGTGTTAGTAAGAAACAGACCCTGCAAAAAATAGCTTACAGTCCAAATGGGTGTGACAGCCCTTGTTTTAGAGATGGAGAGAGCCTTTAGAGGTCATTAGAGATAAGTGATGTGACCAAGATCATGCAGGGCCTTTTGCACTTTAAATTATATCTGGGACTTCTACCTCATAGGTTCAGAGCTCATGAGGGCATTTTAATAGAGAATTTTTAGGAGGCACACTGACATACATTCATTCAAGGTAAACGTGATCTGCCATCTTGGGCCAAACCCCAGATTTGCTTTCATCAAGTCTAATTATGATAATGGTTCATTTAACCTCTCTGCCTCCCCCTAACTTTCGCTTTAAAGCAAAGGCACACTGGCTGAGAAACCTTGGACTGCACAGTTCCATTTTTAGCTCTGTCTGACTCATTTAATGATTTGGTCAGGTTAGTTTGTCCTTGACTCAGTTTCCCCACTGTCAAAATGGCACTAATAACACTGTCCTGCTTTTTGAGGAAGGGTTATGAAGATAAATTAGTTTTGGCTGGGGAAGAGTCCTGCAGGGCTAGCAGAATTGGAAGGAGACAAGCGTGCTCTCTGTTGCAAGTATTATCTATCACTTATGTTTCTCACAGCCCTCCTTGACTTTTACTCACTATGTATTCTTTCTCCTCTTGCAAATCACCAACATGTATATTGATCAGCAACATCTCTTGCACAGATTACAGGGCCATCTCTCCATCAACTTCTTTGCCCTCTCAGAGGCAGACGGTTTTACTGTTGTGAGAGTGAAATCCTGGCCTCGACAATGTCAACAAAGCCAGGATCTCATCCCTGGTTTTCCACCACGAGTGCTTCCTCTTCTGTAAAAAGGCTGGCTATGGGGTGGCTACTGCTGTTTCTTTCTAGGGTTCCTCTGAGGAAGAACAATCCCCTCCAAAAAATGCAGAGATGTTTTCAGAGGCAGACAAACAGATGAAGAGTGAAGGGTAGTTGGAGAGGGAAAAGCCAGCCACACAACAATCTGACTTCTTCTAGAGAGGGTTAAGTACTAAATACCTCTTACTGGGTCACTTAATGATGGATGGTAGTTAGTGGGGGTGGGGTAAAGCTGACTTCCAGCCCTGCATCACTAAACCGTTCATTAGGAAAAACACACACAATGGAAAATGGCAGAGAGGCTCAAGTGTCCAATTTCTCTCTTGAACTCTCTGAACAGGAGGCTCCAGTCAGGGGAATCCCTGCCACCCTTTCTCCCCCTCCTTCTCTGGCAGTTTCTTTATTAATTAACGGAGTTGGCTGGGGACGGAAACGGAGGACAATAATCAACATAGATGGGTCTGCAGACCTATTTTTAATAATGTGCTTTGCATCTGTCCTAATTGGTATGGAAACAGTGACCTGATTGGAACGACCGGGAGCCTCTTGGGGCCTTTCTTTCTTCCTTTCTCTCCCTCTGTTTTCTTTTTTGTTTGGTTGAAGTTTGACTTGGTGGGAGTGGAGGGGCCAGTGGGTAAGAAATATAAAACCTAACCTTAGGGGCTGTTCACAGGCCAGGGAGTGGAGAGGGGTGACGTACTGGGGAGTACGGGATGTGGGGGCAGGGAGGCCTGGATTGGAAAGTCGGGCATAAATGCCTCCAGAACAGAGAATCTAGCTGCCCTGAGGAGCTGAGGGCGAGCATGGGAAGGAAGGGACAGCAACTCTCTTGGTTTAGTTGATGATGTGGGATGTGGTGGGTTTTTGAGGTGAGATAAGAAAAGCTCAGGGACAAGAGGAGCACCCCAAGAGCCAGCTGAAGGCTGGTCCTTGCCTTGCTGTGTAACAAACATGCATGCAGTGAGAGAGAACTCCTGTCTGCAGGAGATTTAAACCTGAAATAGGCAGTGAGGGAAAATGGATTATTTGGTATCAGAAGGTGGCTTAGGAACAAAGGTGGCCTAGAACCCTGGTTCCCCCAGTGCTGTGTGAGCTATCTACCAGATCACAGATATAGCTGCTGTAATGACTTAGACAGTGCCCTGAGGAATCCAGAACAAATGCTATGTGTGAACATGCACACAGGGACTATGCCTGTATGGCTAGATGGGACAAAACTTTGAATATAATTGTGGTATGTTCTGTAATGTGGTAATATTTACCTGTTGCAGCTGCTGACATTCTTAGCGTTTGCCTGTTCACACAGGATGCCTGTCGGGGTGGGATTGCAGAGACTGAGCCCTACTGAGCCAAGTGGCAATGTGTCCCCATGTTCTCTCAAAACAGATGTGCTGTCTGTCCTGCAGCTGCCTGGGGATGCAGTTGAAACACTGCTTTCTTCTTTCTCTCACCTATTTGAATAGCTGGCAGTAGACTCTTGCAGGCTATGTTTGTCCCCTCTGCCTTCCAGTGTCTTCACATCTCTGGAAAGCAGCTCATGAGCCTTGAGCATTTGGAAGATCACCTTTCTCCATACAGCCATAGTCTCCAGAAGAACTGAATTGCAAGGAAACTAGAAATCTGTCCCCATGGGGAGGATGGAACTTGTGTGCCCAAGCTGAGGAACTTGTCACCCAAGTGACTTGTCACCCAGGGATCATGCTGGGTGTTTTTGGATTACAGCCTTGATGCCAAATTACTGCCTTGCAACTTCACTTTCTGTTAAAAACTTGTGTGCACACAGCGTCAAATAATGGGATGAACAAAACAAGACCTAACCCTGAAATTACAATGAAATAAAAGTGATTTTCATATAGACTAGGATAGAAATTGGACATTATTTAAAATAAAGCAAAACAGTCAGGTAGATGGATGGACAGACAGACGGAAGGATTGGCTCTAACAGACATTGTCCCTAAAGTAGCTCAACATTTCAAAGCATGGCCATTTTATTTTGAGTACTACAGCAATTGTTTTTTTTCTGTAAGCCCCAGCTCCTAGAATAAATTATTATAACTGAGAATCTTAGCTTCTTTTGAGGAAGCTTGCTGTTCTTATACTGGCTATGTAAAACTTGAAGAAATGGTGTTATTTCCCTCAAAAAGATCATAATAAGAGGCTGAGAACAAGTTCTCCCACATCTATTGTGTTTAACAATAATAATAAATCTCTGATGCTTTTCTCCAATCTCTGTTTTGTGAGGCCTTGCTTGTTAATTTGGGCATCCATGGAGATATTGCTAAATTCAGGCTCTGTTTATGGATGGCAAGTCTGGGCATCTGTGGTATATATAACCCTGCTTGTAAAGAGGAAGGAAAGAAAGAAAGAAAGAATGGAAATGTGAAATGTAGGGGGAACAGGCAGTGAGCTGCTGCCACTGTGATGTGTGAGGAGTTGGCCAGGTCCCATGTAAATCAAGGACAAAGTTGACTAATTTCCTGGGTCGGTCATGGTGAAAATATCACATTTCATGGTTTGTTGCCGATTCATAGAAAAATCCTATTAAACCCGGGCAGATTACTTATACAATTTAAACAAATGATGATCAAAGATTATAACATGTTCTGTGAAGAATGAAAAGGAATAGAAATGAATGTGCATGTGGTGAAATGGGGCCAGGTGGGGTTTTGCATGCAAACTTGCTATTTTAGCACTGTTGGGGGCATTGCGGATGGGGGAGGGTGCAGGCAATTCGGGGGTACCCTGACCCTTTTTCGAGCAGGGCTGCTCGGCGCAGAGCATCGCTGTCCGCCCGGCGGGGAGGGGCCGGTCGGGGCCGGGCCCCGCGGGCAGCAGAGGGCGCCGCAGGCCGCGGTTTGAGGCGGAGGAGCCGCCTGGGATCCCGGAATCAGGGAGGGATGGATGAGGGGATGGAGCCGCGGAGTGCGGGAGGCGGCCCGCTGTCCGCCCGCAGGCAGGTGCGCCGAGCCCGGCGCCGGCTCAGCCCGCGGAGTGCGTGTGCCCTGCCCAGACCCCAAACCCGCGCTGACTCCCGGTCCCGTTGCTGCACCACGGGCAAGTCGCTCAGGAGGAAAAGCCTAACCTGAAACCCAACAAAGCTTAGGGTGAGAGGCAAAAATGAGTTCTACGTCTCAACAAGGCAAGGTTTACACTAGAGGTAAGCCAGACTGTTATTGATCCCTGCGTAGATCTGTCCTCCAATGCCTCATCACAGTGAAGTGTGTTAAACCTTCACAAGACCTTCACAAAATGTCAAATTCAACAACTGTACACTGAAGAAAAGAATACAGTGGCATAAACATATGTTTATATTGTAAAGACAAGTGGCTTTGTGAAGTGGTTGCTAAGGTGGAGATGAAATGAGTAAACAGAAATGCGTCTCCAGAGAAAATGTAGAAATTTTGACAAATACAACAAAATTATTGGCACTGGGAGCAGAAAAAGGCAGGGTTTGGGTTTTTTTGTTTGTTGGTTTGGTTTTTAAGGCAGATTTCCATATTTCACTGTGAAATTGCCACAGCAGACAAGGCAGAATTTGGTATTTTCCTGTGCACTGCTGAGCATCCTATCCCAAACAATGATACACATGAAACTGACTGTAGTGTTTTTCATAGCCTGTGTGGCTTGGAAATTAGGCTTAGGTAGTTTCTGACATCACCACTCATTTTTACTTTCTCAGGCTAAAGCAGTATACCACCGATGTTTCTGTCACAAGGCTCGTTTTGCACAGCTGCCTGTCCAAAGTCCTCTTCTGAAGCTTTCCCAAACACTGGTGTGTCTGATAGAATAGGCAAGACTTGATGATCTTAGAGGTCTTTTCCAACCTAAAAGATTTTATGATAGTGTGAGAATTCAGTTGTGTTTGAAATTTAGGGATGAGGTGTATGTATTTACTGATACTGGCTCTTCTTTTTTTATCTATGAATCCAGAAAAATGTAGCAATAAACTTGTCTCTGCATGGCCTTCAACTCCAGATCCAAACCCTAATGCCATCTATAACCCTAGGGTTGTCCAGAGTCAAGGTAGCCATGGCTTCCTAATAATTCAGCATAACATATTTAAACATTATGACAGCTACCCTTAACTTTTTTTCAAGAACCAGAAAAATAAGTACCAAAACCTCCCATCATGAATCCTGCAACCAATCCAAACCATAACCTTACCGATCATTGTAACACAGGAATATAATGCTGCCCGGAAATTAAACATGCATTTGAAGCTTATCAGCCTTTTATTTTACCACTGAGGACTTGTGAGAGTTCTGCAATGGAGATATGATGCTGCAGAGCCTCCTGTCCCAAACCATAAATGTCGGCTACTTGCAGTATCATTTATGGCTAAAGAACCTGTTGATCTCTGAACACTGGCTATGAAAAATTCAAATCCACTGAGGCAGGCTGCAATCCTGCTGCAGGCTGGACAGAATTCATCAGTAAGCCTGACTGCACAGAACTGTACACTGAATCTTAGTTTTGGTCTTTACTTTATTCCTGGCACGAGTGATGGCCTAGAAATTCAGTTATGTCCAAAAGTTAATCGGAAGATGTTTAAATATGCTGATACTGATTTTGCCACTTATCTTACCTCAAGCAATGATGCCATTCCGGCTCCAGCGTTGATCATGGCTCAGTAACCCCATTCTGTCTGACAATTAAAAATGATACATTTTAATCTACTTATCCCTGAGCAGGTTTGGCAGAATTGAGCAACAAAAATTGTTTAGCAGAGCCTCGTTTCTGGAATGCTAAGCTAGACCCTAATTGTAATCCTAACCCTGCTTTGACCTCTGCCCAGACACTTGCCATCAGTGGAAAATAAAGAATAAATATTTGACCGTAGAAACACTAACTTTCATCCACTTTTGTCAGTCTTAAAGATTTAGACAATTAATTTGCCCCTCTAATCTCTCTTGTTCCAGACTCTATCCCCAACTCTAATCCTACTTTTGATGACAGCTTAGAAACCCAGAATTTGGCATTCTCATCTAGTAGTATCAGACCTTGGCTTTCCTCTACAGGTCTGACAGAGGTCAGTAATAAATTTGGTTCTTCAGATCCTGCTGTCCCTAATTGTAACTCAAATCCCAAACATACTAGCATTATACACTATACTGTCATTACCACCAGACAACATGAATCTACTTGTTCTAGCCTTATCTTATTCTGCAGAATTCAGCAAATATCCAGCTCTCTGTCCACATCTCTTTAATCTTTTTCCTAACAAAAATGCCAGACTTTACTACAGACCAAACATTTTTCCCTTGCTTCAAAATGAAGAATAAGACATTTGAGTCTACTGACACCAGAGTGCTGTGTTTGCATGGTCAAGGGAGAGCCTTGCACCTGAGATATGACCCTACTTAACCCAAGCTGTCTGAGTGTACAGATAATCTGTGTATTCAGTGATTTGGCTACAGAGAACTGGAAATTCAGTTTTCTAAAAATAAGTGATTTCACACCTTGAGTGGTGAATAAATAACTTAATTTCTATGTATTCAAGAGGAATTGATGCTGATTTATGCCAGCTGATAGTTCTAGTCTGGTACATACAGATCTTTACAATAGGAAGTACATAATGCTACTTGAGGCCTAAAGGATCCTTTTACTTTTATAGCAAAGTGTGTGCATAGCCTTGTTGAGTAAAAATTGAGAATAGTTTATGAACAAAATGTGCTGTTGGCTATATCCTGTGCCTCTGCTAGGTTTGTGTATGTTTTATTCTAACCAGAGGGTGTGAGCTAGCACATGGGAATAGCAGCTGGAGAATAAAGTGGGAGTCATGGTGCTTGGAGGAGTTGAAGTAACAACTGCAAGTATCCCTATTTTTAATTCAATATCAAATATAGTGGCATTGGCATGTCAGATGATGACCTATTCCAGTGCTGCTGATTAGATTTGTGACATGAATGGCCAAAGCAAGGAACTTGGGACATTGGAATTGGATTTTACAGGGGACTCCTACTGTTAATTTTTGTGATTCAATGTCATCTTTCTTGACAAAATGCCACCTGATGTACATTAATTTTGGACCAAAATGCTGAACTAAGAAACTGAACTGGACATTATTTTGCTTGTTCACTTTTGAGGATTGATGTGACTTCCACTTGGTTTTCAAGTAGGTAGTCAGGCTTGAGTGGGAAAGGCTGTTGGTCACCATCGTGTTTTGGATAGGGCAACCCTGTGAGAAGGTGGTGCTACTTGAGGGTAAAATAAAAGAAAATGCACGTTAAAATTGGAGAGCAAGTGAAAGCCACAGATAATTCTTTTCTTGCCTCAAACTATGAATAAGCATCTTCCAACAGTGATGCCTTAGTGTAGCAAAGCAGTCTTCAAAGACTTGTGCCTATGCAGTGCTTAGAGAATGTGATAAGGACCCCTCACTTGATATAGCCAACTTACCACCATGGCTGTTTTGATCCAACATTCTGTAGACTTAGCATCGTGTTCATTTCACGTTAATGGTGAGTAAAGCTGATTAGCTGCTGTTTTAACTGCAGGTAACTCGTCGTTATTGGCAGGAAACATGTTTCATCTGCATAACAGTTTCATGTGAGCAGTGGGGAACATTTTCTATTAGCGTTTGTTGATGTGAAACATGTTTCTTAGTGGAATTATGTTTGCTTGGGACTGGAAGAGAACTTGATTTTCATCCTTAACTCCAACTAGAAAAACTGAATCATGAGAAGGTCCTTTTTGATTCTTTCCCAGCAATGGTATTTTCATTATTACTTTTAATGTATCCAAGATTGGTCTCTATCCTATTTGCTATACACAGATAGCTACAGAAGCTAGAACCAACCTTCTTAATCCTACCCAAAATATATAAATGTCAGCTGCGTACACAGGCTGGGATAAGATGAAGACTAGTTCCAGAGACATCGTGTCATACAGTGGTCCCTGACAGCCATGTTCAGGTGGAGCTTGAGCTCTGTAGGGCCCCAGTGAAGAGATGAGGCAGGTACGGGTGAGCAGTGTCCTTTTCTAATCCTGGCAATGTCATGTTCCTTCTCTTTTCTTATATACCAAGTGGTCCTGTACATACTTTTTTTTAGTTTTTAGTTTTTTATTTACCATAATGGTACCTACCAAAGCTCTATGCAGCCAGGAGCATGAGTTTTGAAACTGAGAGAATAGTAAGGCTTGCTTTTTAAGAAATATTTTGCTTCCTTTATTTGCTTATGCTTTCCAGATAGAAGCCTAAAGAAGCAATATTTGGGTCAGTATCTTTCCAAAAATGCTGTCTGCCATATAATAACTAATTACATTACCAGTATAGCGCCTGTCGTTCTGAAGAATCTCAAAGCACATAGTCATCCTGAATTATGAGAACTAATGCATAATATGACTGTGTCATCAATAAATACTAAGAGACTCTTTTCCTAAGAGATATAGCCTCTGCTGGCCTAGAAGATGGAAGTTGCTTAGGAGTTTGCAATAGAATTACACAAATATTTCAGTGAGTAAGCAGAGAAGAATTACCTATTTGATATAAATCAGAAAAGAAATTTAGTCAAAGAAACTTAGTCATTCTAAAGAAAGAGTTTTTGTTTGCCCCAAACTATAAAAATTACGTAAGGGCATGGCTTCATTATTTGTTTGACAGAGGCAGCCTCTTGATTCTTGACAATCCAGGATTTTAATTGTTTCCAAGTATTCATTTATACTGAGGGATGTCCTTGTGCTTAAGGCCTTGCAGTCACAAAACACAGTCCCAGAGAAGCCTTAAGTCCAAGCATGACTTGGGGAAAAATTTCTGATTTTGCTGACTTGAGTCAGGGAAACCACTGATTCACTGCTGCAAGCCTCACTTGCCAGCATATATTTGTATTTCTGGAATGCCAAGGATCCATATTACCTATGAAGGCATTGCTGTGCTAGGCAACATACGAATGCAGAACAAACAAAAGATGATTGCATGCTTTAGAGCTCTAGCAGTCTAAGACAGGAGATTATGACCTGGGCAAATGATTAGAACTGACACCAGAGAAGCCAGTGCTTCTGCTTCTGATCAAACTTGGCTAAAAATCCCCCAAAGCAACAACCAACAAAAAACCCCCAAAACAAACAGATCAAAAAAAAAAACCACAACAAAATCCAAACCAAACCAAAACCAACCAACCAACCAACTAACCAAAAAACCCCAACACCCCCCCCAAAAAAACCAAACAAAAAACCTCAGGCCAAAATACTGATCCACATGACCTGTTTGTAGAGAGGGAAGAGTTAAAGAACAAAAGCCCATGGAAAAATCTAAAATCATCATCTCTTCAAATGGTCTCAAGTGTATGAGTAGAAAAGAGGAGAGGCAAAACAGCAGAGAGAATATGAAACTTGGACTGCCTTGGTTTTCCATAATTTTTCTAAGATATGTTGGAGACTTTTATGCATTAGCACAGTGTTTGGGAATGAATATTTGTTCAGTGAGATATGACTCTCCCATGGCAGAGCAGTGAAATATAGGATATTTTGCTTGTTGGCAGCAGATTTCTGGCTGTCTACGTTTTTATTAGTGCAGGTTTTTCTATATGAGTGTAGCTATTTATCTAGCAAGCAGGGCCAGCAGATAGAAAGTTGAAGAGAGAGCCAGCACAGTTCTAAGCCATGTCAGTAGATAAAAACCCTTAAGGCAAAATATCTACAGGATTGGGCCATGTGCCTGAATTGGGGGAAATGCTGTTATATTTTCCCAGTCACTTCAATATCCTGCAGTTCTTGCACTTCCACAAACACAGTTTAATGCAGCTGATACAATGCCGTACTGAGGATGTGTTGCCAGCTGCCAGTGTTCAGTCTTGGACCTTTTAATTCCTGAGCTAGAAGATGGAGCTTTTTAGTAGAGGTTGTAGCAGGCTGATGGCCTTTGGTGTTTTGCCTCTTTACCACCAGAGATGGTCAGATAGTTACCCCAAGGGGCTTTGTACACCAGCATCTGTAGTCTGCTGGTCTGGTCTGACTGCATGGTGACAGTGGGACCAGGGAATCTAAATAGGCAGTCTGATTATCTGGAATAATAATCTGGGTGTGATTGTTGGGATTAAATTCCACACTGGGGTGCTCTCTGATAGTAGAGGGAATTTTGCTTGATTATAAACTGAATCAGACCTGTGGGACGTCATCTTTTATTCATAACACTTTGCATATTTGGCAAATGCTCTTGAAGGTAAGGAGATCCATTACTACAGAGGGAAGCAAAGGCTACCAAGTGAAAGAGCAGAGTAAGAAACCAGCAGTGGTATCCTCCTTATTTCTAAGATGATTCCCTTAACTCTTGATGTTTTGCTTGAATAGCTGCAGAAAACAGAGACGAAAATGCAGTCTTCGCTCCCTAGATTCAGAGAGGAGCTGTTAAGATAAAAGACAGCAGTGATAAGAATAAGACGTATGGGCAATGTATGGAGGTTGTCTGAAATAGCCGTAAACAAATGGGATGAAGTTTTTTTGAAAATGTCATTATAAAGGACCTTGCAGGTGGGCTTTTGGTGGAGACCAGTGAAACAACCTAAGGGCAGCTAAAATGAGCTCTGTTTCTTCATGAAGGGCAAACCTGGGAGGGGGCACAAGGACATGGATTTGAAGATCCAGAATTAACAGTGCGTATGGGAGTAGAGGTGGGTAAGAGGCAGGACTTTCTTTTCTTGCCTAAAATAA